TATTGCTATATCTTACATTAAATCTTCTCGATGAATCCAAATATTCCGGAATAGCATAATCTTCTGTTATATTACTATCCATTATAATATTGCGTTTTCTTTTAGATTTTCCTACTAAGGCTTTTTTTAACCAATACCGAACTGGAGTAAACTAATGAAAATATGATGTGTATAAAACATATTTTATGCATAATATTTTTAGACTTAAAAATTAACAAATTTTATTTAATATAATGTAATATATATTTATTTTTTATTCATATAGGCAATTACTTTGCACATTATGACAGAAAGAACTGTAATTCCTATAACTAAAGGAGGAATTACCACATTTTTTGAATATGAAGAAGTTGAAATATCAGTAATTGCACTCAGCTGTGGACGTTTAATATACAAAGGATATAATTCAGAATTATTATGGTTTAAATCCTGTCTATTTGCATCTTCATATGTACCTGTAGGTACCGCTCTTCTAGGTAACTGTCGTGGTTGTTCCTTTTTGTTTTGTTGCGCTGTTTTTACTACTGATTCTGCCACCACACCATGATGTTGTTGTTGCTTTGGAGATTCATAATAATTACTTCGTGAATTACATGACAATATCGACAATTTATCTAGATTCTTACCATTAAAAAACTCTTTAAAGTGTTTACAATGCTTCGTATTTTTAGGATTTGTTTTGCACTCTAATTCAAACGTGTTATATATATAGAGATAATTATTAAGAATATTCTTATAATCACCACTACAATACCCATTAGATGCTGTTATATCTTTTTGAAGCTGATCATAATCTTTTGAATAATCAAAGAGTTGCTTAGTTTTCATAAAATATTCTGAATCAATATTATATTTATGAAATTCACATATATTCGAGCCCTCTTTACTTTGTAATGTAAATTTAATAACATCTATAACAGATGTAAAATGTAAATTATATTTTATATTCTTATATATTATATCTCCTAACCAAAAGTACAGGTAATCACAATCTGAACTATTAAACTTCTCCGTCACATTTTGCTCGTATGCAAAGCATAAAGCATTACGTATTTTGTTAGAAATATTTTCAAGCTGCGGATAATTTTCTATGAGTTTCGTTATATTTTGTTGAATATAAGAGCCATCACATTTATTATTCGCATTATCGAAAATAGCGTAATTCTGTTTTGAAGGTAATTTATTAATTTCATCATTCTATGAATTTAAAACAAATGATAATATATATATATTTATATATATATAAAATAAAATAATTTAAGATGAAATGTGATATTTTGTTATAAATAATTATTTATATTATGTAAAAAACATACCTCTAGATCAATTTCCATTATTAACGAATGTCATAAAGTGATATGCAAACAAAATAAAACAATCATATATTTAACTATTTATTTACTAATATATTGAAGAAATCCTAATAATATTTATACGAATATATGTAGTGCTATCTAAGATTATGGAATAGTACTTATAGTGTTGTCTATTTTTACAAAATTTTATAATATGTAATTTCTTTAACATTATGCTCTAAGAAATATGAATGTATATTTTTAATATAGGATGTATTATATAAATATATATATTTTATGTATTCCATGATATTTGTAACATAAGTATGAAATGAATTATTTGAAATACTTAATAATACATATTATATTATAATGTATATTACAGTTACAATATACATACTCTATATATAATTATTATGATGTTATGTGACATGGAGTACTATGAATTAAATTAAATATTTTCTTTTTTTTTTATTTTATACAGAATATGATTGTTTTAATTATATTTATATAATTTACATTAGTAAGGGTATATTTGTATACATTATTACAGGAGTTATTGATATTTTTTATTCACAGTATAAATTTAATAGATGTAATAAATTTTTTTTTTTCTTTTTTTTTTGAATTCATTAATCTTTTAGACATTTTCATATTATATATGAGAAGTACTATATATATATATATATATGTTGATATTAATAATAATTTTCTAATGCGTAAAAAGAAATAAATTATAAATATTTTTTACTTACATAATACTATCATAATTTGATGTTTGCAAGATATATGAATTTTTTTTTTATTGTATGTTATTTTAATTGAATATTATTTCAACTGATAAAATTGTTTTAAAATTTTTTTTGTCATAAAAATTGTATATTTTAATTAAATATTTACGAGTAATTTATTTTTTTATAGATATATGATGTTATCACTACATAATTAAAGGAATTATAACATTTTATGAAGGCAATAAAGTTTATAAAGAGTAATAAATGTGTTCAATAATATATATTTTTTATATATCCCTTACAATTATTGTATAATTAAAAGTATATAGATTCATTTTAAATGATAAGCTCATTTGTTGACACATAATTATATTTTGGCGTATTCTTTTATTAAATCATGTCATACGGTGAAGTAGTTTATATAATGGACCAATGTTATCATAATTAAATATAGTAAATTTTAACATGTACTATAACGTAATGTGTCTAAGACTATGTATGAATTTTATATTTATTTCTTTTTTAACTTCGTGCATTTCGTAAAAAAGTATATTTATTATATATTTTATTTTGTATTGTTAATGACTATATATTTTCTTCTAATAATCATGTATAAATGTACTTATTAATTAAATATAATGCATTATGGTGTTAAAATAGTAAATAATTTTATATCTGATTCATACAGCTTTGGGGATCAGGGCTTAGAAACATTAGATTTTGTTATAAATTATTTATATATATACAATTATTATGACAATGAGTTCACTGATTATTTTGTAAAATGATTAATTTTAATTTTAAATAAAATTTATTATTATTATATATCTATGGAGATAGAATGCAAGATAATTGGAGGAACAGTGAAATTAGTATGCGTTGTCACACTGTAAGACAAACTTTACAAAATGTGTGGAAAAAACAAAAATCCTATAGGACTGATAATATCCAATTTAGTATATGTGATAATTTTTAAGTAAATCTAATGAACGGAAAGAAGAAATAGAAATATTTTTCACGTAAAATATGTACATGTTGTAATAAATTGTGCTTATCTGTTATTTCATTCTTTTTTATAAGGTAATCTTTGAATAATTATGAAATTATACCGAATGTACATATTTTAAGAATGA